ACATAAATTAAACATTTACATGATTAACATACCGTTTGTACAGGCATGATCATATTCGACAAGTACAATTTGAAATGGAACACCGTTTTTTTGACATCAAAAATTGGAAAAATGGAAAAAAAACCTCTAGAAACTTTGTTAGAATAGATTACAATATACTGGTTCAAGTCTAATTTATAGTCTATAATATACTTATAGTCAGTTAAATTCATGCGGGAATTACGAAATGTTGCGTTAATGGAAGGTAAGAAGAGAGGTGATAAACATGTGCTAGAGTACGACATACAGGATACAGGCCTTGTGATCATTGTCATTTTGTCAATTAATAAGGGTTCAAATATTTAAAAAAAAAAACAACTCCACAGTAGAGGGTAAGTACAGCATTATTTTGGTAATAACAGATACAAGGGACCAACTTTGCGATGACAAACAGTACTCAGAATGGAATTTCTTCCGTTGTTCGTTGTGTCTGCCAACAACATTCTGAATAACGCTCAAGTAATAAAAACGTAGAAAGCAGCATTACTGTTCATTTGCAGTGCATCAATGCAATACCTTCGAGAAGGAAGAAGAAAACAGAAAGAGAGGTGCAGAGGCAGCCAGCAAATAATAATAATTTAAGCAAACAATATGCGATAAACGCAGGGTTTATTCCCCTATTTTGTTACTAATAATTTAGAGTCATTGAGTTTTATAATGTTACATACTAACAGTTAGTTCAAGTTTGTGGTAGTAAGCAACAACAAAAAAAATATAGAATAACAAATTTTTTAGAAAACAAGGGCAAAACGAATAATGATTTTTAGATCTATATATGATAATGGGAATAGAAAGTGGAGAAGCTAAATCCAAACGCCAAATTACATAAAATATATAGAAGTGAAGAAAAACAAAAAGAGTGATGATACTTATTTATGCTGATGTTCTGATTTATACAGTTAGATGTCCTCCTGAAGTAGAGAAATCGTACCATGAGGTTGTTTTCAAAGAGTTTATACACAAGCTTTGTTATACAGGCAGCTATTATTTTATTTTATTATTATTTTTTTTTTTTTGAAGTCATTCACACTCAGGAACCTTAGCAATAGAGCGCATTCCCACAGATAAGGGTGGTTCTCTTAAGTCCCCACCATCATATCCGCTGAATAGCGGTCACCACCCTCCCACCTTTTAATCTGCTAGGCCCTGGCGAAATGCTCCTCTTGTTTTTAGAAGAATTTTTTTATTGCTAAGTGTCATTTAGACAGTTTTCGCCTTCACCAGCTTACTCAACGAAACTCATGGTATGAACGACTACTTTCAGTCAGCCACTTTGTATGCATCGTCCCTAACAGCATTTTAAAAACATATATATACAATAAAAAAGTAAGGAAATCAGAGATTTGCAGTCTACTTTCTAGATTTCAGTTATAAACATATGAAACGAAGGGGCAATATGAAATGGTATGAGAAGAGAAAAATACATAAAGGTACACAGTTATGAATATATATGCATAAAAAGAGGCAGTAGTTAATTATAATAGATGGTTCAGAAGAATGAAGGATTATAATAACAGAACCGTAAAATAAAAATCCGCTAATATTTAAAACTCACAGTGAAGTTAAGCTGATTTTTTAGGCAATCCGGCATAGGGCTGGAATTTGCGTAGACGTAGGTGGTATTTACTCACAACACTAGCTAGTCACAAGAGGAGATTTTAGTCCCAGCTATATCCAAGTTGTTTACCACTCAACCTTGAGGTAGAACTTCCACAACACTGAACTGCCCAAAATACAGTTTTGCCAGGGATATTCACCAGAATATTTGATTAATTTGACAGTCAGCAGCTGGGATTAAATGGAGTTGAATCACTGAAAAGGTATGACATAAGGTGTGAGGGTAGTTCATGTAGATTCAGTGCAGCTTTCGTGGTATATCAGGCTGAGTATTCCACTCCAGGTTTGTATGAAAGGATTGTGAATATTTTGTGATGGTGCTTGCTAGACAAACAATTGAATCAACTAAAAAAGAAAGAACTGAGAACGGCATTAGTGCAACGTTGATTATTTTAAATGTGTCCGATAATACTGACCGTTTCTGTTAATGCTTTCGGTGAACAAAGCTGTTTAGGTACGTAATCCAAAGGGGAAAGAAACAATATCACGAATTTTCAGTATGTGGCAAACTGTTTCAAGACTGTTTTCAGAGAAATATTTATTTACTAGATAGGTGAATCGTTGTAATGTGGTGCTATTTTTAATTTCACTTGGCAAGAAGTTCCATGTTTGCCTATATTTGACTGTAAAGAAGTTGGAACGTAATTTCGTGCGACAAAGAATATGACTAAGAGAAGACCCGTTGCTGCGTAGTTCATACGTCGAAGAAGTAAAGTTAAGGTTATTATTGGGAAAGTGTACTATTCCTTTGATTATTTTAAAAAGGAGAATGAGGTTAAGTCGGTGGCGCCTGTACCAAAGGGGTTCGATCTTAAGAGTTGTGCAACGATAGTTGTAGGGAACTTTCAGACTTGTTCCTAGGATTCTACTTGTAAATCTCCTTTGAACACTTTCAATCTTTAGTTTGTCCTTAACAGAGGTGCTGTCTAGGATAAATGGACAGTACTCAAGGAGGGGCCGTACGTGTGTTTTATAAAGTAACATTTTAGATTCTTGTGTTTGAAAGTTATGAAATATAAATCCAAGTAATCTTCTGGCTTTAGAAACTTGGTTGGTGACATAGAGAGAGAATTTAAAGTCAGCGGAGTAACGAAGCCCGAGGTCAAGTACAGAAGGAAAGATAGTGATAGGCTTGTTGCACATAGTTATGTGTGGTGTGGTACGTAAGCGAGCTGGGCATAACAGTCCACACTTCTCCACGTTGATCTGCATCATCCACGACTTACACCATGTCTCAATATTATCAATATCCGATTGGATTTTATGAGACAGATTTGTCACTTCTTGGGTGGTACTGTGGTAGACTATCTTCAAGTCGTCGGCATATAAGAAAGGTCTGCCGTGCTTTATAACATCACAGACGTCGTTTAGGTATATTAGAAAGAAGAGAGGTCCTAGTACACTACCTTGAATCACGCCACTTGATATAGGAGTGGTACTGGAAAAAGTGTCGTTAATCTTAACAGACTGGGACCTACCACACAAAAATGAATTGCACCACTGTAAGAGATTGCCAGATATACCGTAAGCCTTAAGTTTTTGCAGGAGTAAATTATGACATACTTTATCGAAGGCCTTCTTAAGATCAATATACATAATGAGCACAACGAATTTTTGGTCTGTAAGTCCAGTTATAAAATCGAATAGTTCTAAGTGGCAAGTCATACATGACCTGGACTTTATAAAGCCATGCTGAGAAGGTGTTATGAGGTTTTCTGTCAATAAGAAGTCAGTGATTTTGCAACTGATTATCTTCTCAAGTATCCTTGACAAGACAGACGTTATATTGATCGGCCTGTAATTCTTTACATCATATTTTGAGCCGGATTTAAATCTAGGAATAATATATGTCTGCTTCCATTTAGAAGGATAAACTCCATTCACAAGGGACGTTGAGAATATCTTAAGCAAAAGGAGAGGGAGATCAGAGCCACCATTTTTAAGGAAGGATGAGGGAATAGAGTCAGGTCCAGGAGTATTGGAGAATTTCAATGAACTGATTGCACTTTTTATAACATCAACAGTCAAGCATATATTCGACAGTGTTTTTTCTGTTACAGAGTCAAATTCGATGCATGCGGAAATATCGTGCGTGTATGAGTCAGAAAAGTGCTTGTTAAAGAGTTCAGCTATGCCTGCATCATCCTTAACAGCAACATTATTATGAAGAATGTAAGGAATGTTGCCTTGTTTTTGTTGCAGTCTTTTTTGGAAGAGTTTACATAGAGAGCTAATTTTGCAACTACTTTTAAGGGCGACAAGTTCTTCATTGTAAATTTTACTGGCATTATCTGATCTGATTTTATCATATACCTTTAGGATGCTAATGAGCGAGGAGAAGTCCATAGATTTATTATAGGTTTTACGGAGTCTTCTTAGCTTATTCCTGGTAGCAATCGGTATATATAGTTGATTTACACGGTTGCCTTTGGATGTATACCAAGGGATAGATTCGTTGAAGCAAACTGAAATGTTGGAGTAGAAACTGTCAAGGACAGTATCAATGTCTACCGAGGAGAAAAAGGTATTCCAGTCTTGGCAACGAATAAAACATTGCGTTGTTTCCCACTTAGCCTTTGAAAAGTCCCTGACTTTTACTGTCCGACGACGGTCTTTGCCTGACCCATTTGCTGCTAGGTTAAAGGTGGAAATGACCGTGTTGTGGTCGCTACCAGGGAATAAAGGCCCAACTCGAGTGCTGACGGGAAGGATGTTGTGTGTGAAGATTAGATCCAAGATGTTGGATTTACGTGTGGAGTGATTCACATTTTGTGTCCATCCATAGAATTCAACCGAATTTATAAAACGATCAGTGTATTTAGGAACATTTAGCCTATTCCACTGGATACCAGGCATGTTAAAGTCGCCAGCTATTATTTTATAGTCAAAGTTTAGGGAGGAGACGTGTTCGAAAATTTCACACAAATGGTTCGTTGTATTAATATCAGAATTGGGCGGGCGGTATATACATCCCAATAAAAGTCTTGTATTGAAGTTAGTGTTGAGTGTAACCCATACTGCGTCTGTAAGTGAGCAACCCAAATCATCAACTTCTACAGCGTGGAATTTGTTGCTAACAAAGATAAGACAACCACCACCACGTCCTTCTTCTCTGCCATGTCTAAAGTGTGTGTATCCTGGTGATTCTAACAGTCTGTCATTGAAGTCAGATGGTAACCAGGTCTCGGTAACTAACAGTACAGAAGGCATACAAAGTGAAAGTAAGGAGTGAAGGTATGGAATTTTATTGCAGATAGAACGAGCGTTTATAAGGAAAAGAGTAAATGATCTTTGTTCAGTGGTAAGGGCTGAGGCAAAGTGAAGGAGATGATGATGTGATTCAGCTGAGGTTAAATGAAAATTAGATGACAGTCTGACCGGTACATCGAGTGTTCGGTCCATAAAGCCTTCATCGTTTTCGTTAAGGTTCTGTGAAAAAGAAGATGGTTTCCATGGTAGATCACTCAGTTCACGATCGCATGGAGATGGGCATACGGAAACTGGGGTATCCTGGGTGTCTGAAGAGGGCACATTTGAGAGTAAGGAAACAGACTGTTTGACATCAGGTTGATTGGTGGCATTACTGCCGGGTGCGGAAAAGAGAAAAAATGGTGAGGGGATTGATTAGTTGGAAAGTTGTAAAGACTGTTTTGGTGTCGGGGGAGTGTGTTTCTGGGGAAGTAGCATTTACTGGGTGGATCCCCAAGCAGGCTATGCTGAAAGTTTAGGCGATTGAGTCCATGTGGCTGTGCACCAGGAATATGGGCATAGTTATATTTGGTATTACGCAACCTTATAGTAGAAGTTGGGTAGCTGCAACTGGTTGTATTAAAATGGTGAGGAAAAGAGAATGAGATAGGTTGACTAGTGTCAGTTCTATTTGATACCAGAGACGTCCTTTTGGGAGATTTAAGCGTATGAGTAATAGGAGACGCTGAATCAGGCTTGACGGAGTGTATGCCAGGCATAAGAGTTTTGTTCCTTACATTTTTATTCGGAATCTTAGAGCTAGATGTGAAGATATTACAAGGGTTTTCGATAGTTCTAGCATGGCGAGTGAGATTTTTATTGATATCTTTTGCAGCAATTGAGTGCTTTTTAGGTTGTTTAACAACTGGAGAAATACTAGATTTAGTATTGGTAACCATATCAAGCTTCATTTTAGGGTCACTAGGTGGAGGACTTCTTTTAAGGTTTAGGTGGTGTTTTGTATTGACATCAGTGGGGCCGGTTGTATCCTTTTGGTTATTTATTTCATCTGCTGGGATACTTTGTTTGGCACGACGCTGGATTGGTGTCCTGTCGTGAATAATACGTACATTTTTAAAGCTACTTGCTTTCCTAAAGAGATGCTGGTTATTTACAAAGCGACTAGCATCCACAATGCTATTAAACTCGAACATTATTGGACAAGATGTATTAGCTGAAGATTTACGCAGTCGTTTGCAGGTACAATGGGAATCTGGTATTTCGCATGCCTTTAGAAGTGCGTTTTTCAGTGTTTTAATGTTCGTACTGTCGGGCACATTGAAAACAATTGCATTATACATGCACTGAACCCGTTTGATCACTTCCGTGGAAATATGGTCTATAATTCTCTCACAAGACTGTAGCGTATCATAGTCAGGATAGTCAGCAGGCTTTATCAGATACCTAAGGGGTAAGAGATCATGGACTAACGGAAGGATGTTTGTGCTATCCAGGCTATTGGATTGGTTGGATGTGTTTTGCGTAGGCAAAGAGCAATTTGTTTTTTCAAATTTGGCATTAGGTTGGTGTCCATGGGTTACTGATGACCGATGGAAATTCTTGCGATGGGGGGCTTTATCGTTAACAGTAGCGGTGGTGCTGCATTCTGCCCTCTGTGCCGGCATATGTGTAGCCTGCTCAAAAGCATCCAATTGAATGGAACTAGATGACAGTAAATCTGCCTGTGTATTGCAATGATTATCAAGGTCAACGTCTAAGGTTACTAAGCATTTGGGGGAGTTAACATTTCTTTTGACACAGTCAAAAGATTTGATATTAGTATGTATCGATGATAGTGAGGCCACATGTGTGTTCGGACCTTCTGACTGACAATCCTGAGTATGGCAAATGGAGGGTGTAGATTCAACCACATCAGAGGAGCCAGTGTCAGGCTTTTTATTAACAGCTAGTGTGACTTGGTAAGAGTCCAAAATGCTTGGCTCACAACCTGTACTATTGCAAATATCCCTGATAAAATCATTTATAACGCAAGAAGGTGAAGAGGTAATGATATCCGATTTTGACATATTTAGCACCTGTGTCAGATCAGGGGAAAGTGTAGTGCCATGCTGTTTAGGCTTGCTAGATTTATGTCTTTTGCTGAAGTTTTCAGCCGATAATGAAGCACGACGCTTCGATAGCTTAACTGGCATTTTGTATAAATTCAATACAGAACTGTCGGACTGCAAGTATATGAGACTTAGGTTGTTTGATTTTATGTCAAAACAAAAGACAGGAGTAATATGGGCACTGAGAGTCAGATGCTCGATGTGGTAATACCTTAATCAGTAATCTGAAACAGTAAAAGTAGCAAGGATAATATCCTGTGACTATAAAGGTAAGTTCAGATATAACACAAATATTTCTATTTGTATTAGTAATCGGTGACACTAAGGATATATCCTGAAAAGTGGGAGTACTAGAGAGAATAATAAAAACGAAAACCACGCGGAAAAAAACGACAAACTTCGAACGAGGCGCCAAGTTAGTTATATATTACTGTGAGTGCTCTGAGCATCGGTAGTTTATTTAGAACGGATCTAGCATTTATGAGGATTAGGTAAAGATGAGATTTGAAATAGCATTTGAAGTACTTAAGTTCGTCAATCAGCCCCGAATGTGGTTCAGCACCCAGTAGTACTGTTTGACATGACGACCCTATGTTGAGAGGAGTTTCAACATCATGCTCATCTATGTCTATCGAGTTGGTGTGTGCTGTTTTCGGTGAAGAATTGAGCGTTGGAGTACTGGATGTGCTATAGCCTAAGGCATTTTTATTTTTAGTAAAGCTAGAAACGGGGGTAGGGATCTTAATTTGACCTAAACTTGTGCATGTACCAAGTGTGCTTAGTGGATGCGGGTGAGCTAGACTGTTCCTACATTCATGCAAAGGGGGAGCCAGCACTAGTGGTTTAGGAGTGTTAGCATCCCTACCAGCTGTTTTTTCAACGCTGACAGGGACGCAGGGGATAAAAAATGATTGGGACCTTGTGAAGACCATGGTCTATTATTCCATCTATTGTTAGGTACTAGTGGTGTCCTTGTAAGGGTTTCGAATGTACTGCTTTGTGGGTTAGTTCCCAGCAGACTTGTACCGTATATCCGATCAAAATTTATTAGCGTGCCATACTGTGAATGCCCTGAGTTGTTGGTGGTCGAGTTCTGACTATTGTCACTTGTACTCTTGAGGGTGGCATTGTTTGGGCGTTGGTTATCAGTGTGGGCCGTGGTGCTATTTCGCACGTTGTGGGTGCCAATACTATTGACCGTGGGGAATGTGGGCTTACTTATACTGCCATTGTTGTTGTTGGCATGATTTGGGGTCATATTCTTCTCTTTTTTACCAATGGACTTATGGCTAGGAGAGGAAAGGGTCAAGTTTCTGGGGATTTTGACTTTTTTTCTTGGATTATTTAGTGACATGTCTAAATCTACGGTGGTAGGTGGTATAGTTTTATTGGCTATTTGATTACAATTTAGCGGCCTTTTGGTTGGTGTCGCTCTCTGAGAAGATAATTCTGTGTGGTTAGAGAGGGGTGGTGCGGTGGATTCTACGGTATCTCTCAAAGGGTTGGGTATAATTGCTGCTTGCAATGTCCTATTGTTTATTCCACAGTTAGACTCGGTGAGATAATTATATACGCGCCTTTCTATGACGGTCTTGTCCACCGCAACCTTTACTAGTTTATAATTTCTGGCTTGCAGTGAGGTGTGTTGGGAGTGGATAAATTTTCTGGCCTCAGCAGGTGTTTCGAACTGAAAACGAATAGGACAACACTTTTCATGTTGATTCTTCTTCAGCCTATAGCACTTAGTCTTGGAGTTGGGCATTATCGCCTCACTAAGTAGGATGCGCTGTACCTTTTTTAGTGCCTCATTATCCGGAACGTTGTAGACAATAGCATTTAGTTTAGCATCGAGTCGTTTTGTTACTTCTGTAGTAACAAAGTTAATTAGGTTATCCACCTTAGATATCGATTCACTGTCAAGTTTGTTAAGGTCTACAGTTTTCATGAGAATAGTTAAAGGTGTCAGTTCACAGACCTGCAGTCTGATATCACTGATCTGACCTGATAAATTGGAGATTTTGGTATTGGTATCGGAAATTCCAGGATCTACTGACTTATTGTTTTTTAAGTCCCTTAACTCGGCCTTAAGTTCTCCTATAGACAACTTTAGAAGTTCTATTTCTGAAGATAGTACTGAAACAGAGCTTGAAGGCTGGAGCTTTTCGATAAGCACATAAGGTGTAGGGAGGGTTTCTGTATGAGCAGAGGGTACTGAGTTTTTGGGAGTAGTGCTAATACTAGCTGTCAGTGCAGTTTTATCCTCAGTTTCAGCTCGACGCTTACGACATACAAGTGAGTTTTGTGGCTCACTATAACCATTTGTAGGAAGTATGTTGCTTGATGTAGCAATCAACGACTTAAAATTAGTCATCAGTTTTACAGGGGATTGAGTTCGCTGCTTTTTACTTTGGTTAACCATAACTATTTGATATGAGAGTTAATAGTTATAGGTATGGAAGTAGTAGAGGACTTGTGCAAGGATTACAACAAGATAAATTTTATGTAACGAATCACGCAAAATGTAACGCAAACGTTGGACGTACCGCGTATGAAGGATACCAGCTATTAAACTTTGTGTTTCCGTGAATTCATTCACATCTTCACATGTATTCGGATCAGTTGTCAACAGTCCATCGATTAATTCAAATAGATTATCTAAATCTGTTTCAGTAGTTAAACATGATGAATACGCTGATGACGATGTATTGCCGACAGATGAATCTTTAGCTGTAGTAGTATCATGACGATTCGATTGAGGATATTGATTAAACTGACGTTGACGTTGATCTCGTTCTAAAGCTGCATTCAATAAATCATAGGCCAGTCGACATTTTGTAGTTTTTGGATCCAATAATGAGACTAGACGTCGAAAACCAGACATACCTAATAGTGTTCGTAGATCACTAAGTGCTGTCACCGGAGCACTGATACGATGAACATCACTCATTGACTGTGGAAATGTCCCGTCTAGTGGTAAGTAGGGTAGGCGAATTAAATCACGTGATAGTGAAGATCCAGATGGTATTCTGTGTGGGTGTAAAGAAACAGGTTAAAACAGTAACCATACGCTTTTCCCATTCTAATGTTTATGGCATATACTTACATACATCACAGTATTAATAGGAATGTGTTTAACGAAATTAAGTTCAAGAGAATTGGCTTGCGATCATTTTTGTCTAGTATCAGTATTATTCACTATACCATGCTACTTAACACCGGTGATTAGAAACAGCAAGTATGTTTTGTATATTTCCCTTTTTCAGTGGCCACATCTCATAGCCATAGAGAGACAACGCGAACTGCTGCTGTGCAGTGGACACGTCCTTTGATCGACAGCCAGCCGGATATCCCGTCTACCCCATGAATGATAGTAAGCTGGCAAATGTCACAAGAGCATCTTATATCCGTGCTGTTTGGAGATATCTGCAACTGAACAGATGAGAATAATGCCATTGCTTAACGACTCAATGTCGGACGGTACCTCGATGACGAGGTTTTATCACCACCGTTAGTAATAGCTGTTGAATAGAAAAACTTCAAAATCGGTAGTCTTTTGTTAATAGCGTATATCATTCAAACTATTCATAAAATGCATTGTCATATGATCAGCAGTGATATTATCCAGTTGATCAAGTGGAGCAAGATTCGAAGTCGGGATGGAATCCACTTGATTCAGAGATAAGCACATAAGCCAATCCAGTTTGGTTGATATATATATATACAAGTTTAATAACAAGTGGGATATAGATTACCATCTTGCATTCAAGACCAATGAATTATATCACGTAAAACCACACTTTAATTACATTCACAAAGAAATATTTAAAAATGGTCAAGTCACCCATTGTCTATGGGTTATGCAATAACCCCTTTCAAAGATTTATTATGCATTACTAATACTATAATAATAATAATAATTATTCAAGAGTCAGATTTTAGGGACTTGATTTGTTTCAAATTTGATCACGGATGGATATCAGTTAGACAACCACTGAAAACCAGCACTGGAGAACTGGGCAACTGTCTCATCAGTCTAGCTTGAGACTCATCGTCAGTACACACCCACCACGATGGGGTTCAACCCAGGAGCTTGCGACTACAAAGCAAGCTGGTAGACCATTCGGCCACTTGGATCTGACTCAGTGGTCACCCATAAATTCAAACCTCTACCAATTAGTGATTTCAGCGTTATTACTACCAGCCAATGTATCATCGCTGGTGAGTATTTGTCCTCACTCCCGACCACTTGATGGACTCCACTGGTGATCACGACTTCTCAATAGAACTCCAGTCAACTTTGTCCGCCTGCAGCCAGCCAGTCATTAGAGAGCACAAGATAAATTTTCAAGAGTTAGTCTGTCGGGTCACATCCCAGTGGCCGACTGGTTTACAAGCTACCTAGACGTGTAACGGGAAGATCCTAGGTGGGAACCACAGTGGAGTGGGTATGTACTGAAGATGAATCCCAAACTAGGCTGACGAAACAACCTTCCAGTACTTGAGTGCTGGTTTCCAATGGTTCTTTAACTGATACCAATCCGTGGTTAAACTTGAAGCAATATAAAATTGTTGAGGATTACATTTTCTCTAAAAAATTACTCATGCTTAGAATAAAGTGATTATCATTATCAGTAATAATAATAAACTTACAATGAAAGACCAACATGATGAAGTGAATCAGCGGTAGCATTTAAACAAATATCAATTAATGGTGCACTGAATAACTGTGCTCAGTTAATTCATACACGTTTAGTCCCATGTGAATTTACCGATGACAATGTGCAAATGTTGTCATGTTGTCATATGAAAAATTGGCCTACAACACAAACAATAGCCACATCGAAGGGTTTACCATTAGAGGATATACTAGCGCTTTATTCAGCACTGGTTTATTTAGCTATGATATTACGACCGAATAACTGTGCTTTATTAATTGATTAATTAATTAATGCTCCACATATTAATTGGGAAGAATCTCACAGTGACAGTGCTTGAATGTGCACTCGTGCAACATATGCATGCACAAACACGGCATCACCCTGAACACGATCCGTCTACTCTAGACTTGGTATTAACATACCAGAAGGAGGACGTTAGTAACACTAGATGCCTTCCGCCGCTTGACAGCAGTGACCACATATTCATTGCTTTTATGTTTAGGATTCATCCTCTCATACACAGGTCGAAATCTGCTCGTCCGAACATTTGGAAAGCGGATATGCAGGGAATGCGGAACGCAGCAACTGCAGTTGACTGGTCAGTTGATACAAGTCGGACTGTCGAGGAAGCTTGAGTGGGATTTAGGAATACACTAGATTGTATCACTTCACCTTTTATACTTTGGGACACTCCTCGAAAGCTATCGCATAAGCCACCTTGGATTACTGGTGAAATATGGAGGCTATTAAGACGAAGG